ATTAAAATTTGCCTTCTACAAACGGGAATAATAAGAAAACCACGACATTTACGATGCAAACATCGTACACATTACAGATTCAGGGAGATAACATCTGATATTAGGTTGTCGCATAAGTTCTTATACACGACTTTTTTCGTAAATATCTCAATAGCGAACCAACCTGAAGATTAGAGGTATGCATCATCACCATCCACTACTCGACGCCAGCGCTCAGGCAGCTTGTCGATTCCTTCCTTCCAGAACGACGGGGGCTGGGACTTGAAGAAGTCGTCGAGTGCCTTTCTGACCTGATCCTTTGTTTCGAACTTTTTTCCGTCCAGAGAGCGCTGCAGGTGGCTGAACAGCCAGTAGTCAGGAGCGAGGTCAGGGCTGTAGGGAGGGTGGGCGACCATCAGCCATCCGTACTTCTCCAGCTCGGCCTGGGTCGCCTTTGCAGTGTGAGGTCGGGCGTTGTCATGGTGGAAGTAGATTTCCGCATTCCTTCCACGAGTACGGTCGACGTGATCTTTCAATTTTCCGCAGCTGGGTCACGTATGTGGAAGCATCAATCGTCTGTCCCTTCTCCAGCAGCTCCCAGTACTCCATGCCTCTTCTGGACCACCAACAGGACAGGAGAACCTTTTTGGGGTGAAGGTCGGCCTTTGGGGTGGCTTCTGGCTGTTCTCCTTTGTCGACCCACTCCTGCTCCCTCACAGGGTTATCGTAGAGGACCCACTTCTCATCTCCAGTGATCATCGAGTTGAGAACGCGAAGCTTCTTTTGTGAATCGTTAAGCAAAACCAGGCAGTGGCGCAGGTACATTCTGTCACAGTGGTAATTGTGCGACATTGTGTACTGCAAATGCAAGCTCGGTGAGTGATAGCTAGTGTAATGAAAGAGTATAATGTACACGTCACGCACACGTGATGACGTAATACCAACATCCATGCGAACGAAATAGGAGAGGATCAAACACGTGTATAAGAACTTATGCGACAACCTAATAGAAAGACTAAGAAACCACAAATGAGGAATTTCAAGCAAATACCGTAGCAGCTTTGGCCAGTGCAGGGTACTCCGAGCCCCCCCCCCCCTTTCCCTCCCCCCACCTCCCCACATGTCATAATACCACCACCGCGGGCAGTTCGGCGACGGTGGAGGGGAGGGGTGGGCATTTTGCACCTTTGCTACTTCTCATCGATGCTTCCACCTATCTAGAGAGCCACTTCGTGAGCCTACAAGAGTTGACAGGTTCCGCCATACTGGCTAGACGAGCTTGTCCCGGACTCAATTCACAAGAGTTCACAGGTTTCACCGGAGTGAAACTTGTAACCCCCTCGTCGCCAAACTGCGACCCACTACCGCCCAAATGGAGGCGATTGTTCTTGGTCAAGCATAGGAGAAAGGAATCTACCCGGAGTGTGTGGCGCGTAACTGTCCTAGCCCCGCGGGGTGCTCAAAATGTCACCCCCTGCTTAGTTGCCCCTAGTTTTTCTTGAATCTGGACAAAGACTCCAACTGCCATTTCCCCTTGTAGCCAACTTATTCAGTTCTCTAAAAACTTAGCTAAAATGCTTGAGTATGTATGTAACAAGACACCCGCAATATCCAGCGCTAGTACAGGTTCACTGCGGACGGTTGGGCGTGTCGGCCAGTATGAGTGTTCACACCTTCAGAGCTTTTCTCTGCCGTCTTGTTGAAAAACGCATGCGACAAAAAGTGGTAGAAAAAGAGTAATACGGAAGGTACGACACAGTATTGGCTTTCTGTCCGCTTCAACAATTGGTGGAGAACGAGTTTGGCACTGCGCCAAACGCAGCCGCACTGACACGCCCAACCGTCCGCAGCGAACTGCACTATAGGTGTGGTCGGCCTACTCGAATTCGAATGCAACCAGGGAGAGGAAGGATCTGAATAAGTCGGCAAGGAGTTTGAAAATACAAGAGGCTCGCTGCTGTAATCAGCGAACTGATACACGTCGAGAATTAGCCGCGCCTTGTCGCATGATGTGATGCGCACGAAAGCGCGCCACATTACGATTGTCTTATCCGTCTTCCTAAGTGCTTCACCATGAGCATGCGTCAAGCGTACTGCGACTATATTCAGTGGGATGCCTCTCGCAATCATGTTAGGCGCGTTTAGCACTCAGGATACACACGCGCGACTCTCAAGTCGTGCAATTGCGACTAAGCGCGCTCTACCGCTAGTCATGGGATCGATCATGAACGTGCTCGAATTATCAGTTGCAGCGGGCCAGTGATCAGCGATGGAGCTCGAGCTGAATCGTTCGCGTCGCGAAGTATGACAGAGCCTGAGCCAGAATCTATAGAAACAAAACGCCCTACACAACATCCAGCACGGAAACACGCATGCTCTGCGTTGCCGCCGCGTCTGTTAGTCCGGGTTCGTATCGAAACCTGAGCTACATAGTTGTTGGAAGCGAAATAATATAAGACATACAGATAGCCTCTGAATAGTCCCACAAGGAAATAACTACCACTCTCTTGATAGCTCAACTCTACAGTTCAGAAAACGACCTACCAAGATTGCAAAGTTAGGTGCAATAGGATAGAGGGCCGCGCGCCTCTATAAAGTCAGTAGAAATGAGACCTAACATTATGCCACCATCAAATGATTTTGGTGATAAAGGAGGAAACCATCACGCTGTCAGTATCAGTCTAGACCCAGACCCATCCGAACGTATGTACAGGTTAAGATTGAAGAATACAGAAGGATGTGGCCACGAAAACTGGGAATTTGTAGTCGTTTTCAATGCAGACGCCGGTCACAAGGTGGCCGCGGGCGTTTGAGTCTGGCGCGGGTTGCCAACCGCGTTTTCCACCAATTGTTGTCGCTCGCTCGCTTCGACATGTGGTTGTAAAAGGGCTGGCGTCGCATCAAACACGCCCTCCCCCCCCCCTTGACGTCCCCAGCGTTTGTAGCTAAAACGACTGTAGCTGGTAATGTCAAAGATCGTGTAAGTTTCCAGTAGTACTGCTTTTAAAAGAGCTTGGGACACAATCGCCCACTTCCCCCTTGGTATCCCATAGTATCATGCATTAGCAAATCTGAGTCCCTTAACTGCACAAACTGGGCACATCATCGGAATGTGAAAATTTCCAGCGTACGTACGATCCCTCCAGGGAAGGAGTCGGAGTACAGCCTCTTTTTCTAACTGATGACAACCCTCAAGTGCAGATTTTATCCAGTAATGACCCCAAATTCTGCCGAACGAGATAGGAGCGGGGAAGGAGGTGGAAACGATGAAAACCAACAATTTTTCAATCTCGAGTTTTCCCAAAAATCCTCAGATCATTTCGCTACAAATGACTTTCGACCCTCCTAAGAGACTCTCCGAGCTAGATTCACGACGAGAGGGCCATAAAGAATGTCACATGGAAAGGGCTGAAGATGGTTTTAGAGATGGCAAAGGCTGCAACTGCGTTAAGTAATTGGAGGTACAAAGTAGTACAAATGATATTGAATGAGTAACTTCCAGGCTAAGAAGTCTGAAGTTGTGGACGAAAGCTTATAAAGATAGGGAGGCAGAGAAGCGTAGTCGGTTATTGAGACCCGGATGAGCTACAAAAACAAGGCGGGTAGCAGAGCAGTAAGCCAACAACAATTTTCAGCGCAAGCCCAGTCAAACTGGTTAGAAAGGCTTGCACGTAACTTCAACCCTACCCGTTCATTGACCTCATGGTTGTTCCATTAATAAGAGTGTTCAAAACTTAGTAGGATCTTGTGGGCCTTGGTCATTGAGAGTAGGTAAACTCGACAGAAGATGCTATGGGAGGGTGAGCGGTGAGGGGGGGGGGGGTCGTATTTGGTCCTCTGTAGGGAGGGGGAACGTATATGAACTGAGGAAACTTTTTTGATAATCCCCCTCCGCCCCCTAACTGTGACGTTCAGAATTACTATGCCACTACTATTTTCGATGGCGGAAAGTAATATCTGAATGGTGACCGCTTCCCCCACCCTGCAGAATCAGGTTGGGAAAACCTAGGAAACTAGGACGTGGTAGGTAGGATGGGGAGGGGAGGGGGGTGTCATAGCAGGGAAGGGAATCTGGGGGGGTCGTATTTCGGTAAATCTTCTCCAGCGGCAAGACGTGTACTGATCCGAGGTGTTCACATAACGCTTTCAACTACATGTCAGAGACGCCGTATTGTACATGGGAACACAGTGGGATGGTGCTAAAAAGGAGGGAACTGCAGCTGCGTTACAGCTACAGCGTTAATGGTAAGTAGAGAAACTAGCCTCTTACGCTAATGGTAAGCAAACTAGTTTCGTAACTGTGTGAATTAGGTTGAAGAAGAAGCTTTCCTTCCGCGAAAGAGCTCTACTCAATTAGGGGAAATCGGCATGGCGTGGAAAAAGAATGTTCGGAATTCCAAAGAGACCACCGAAAGGCTCCAGGTGGGTAGGCGTGCGAGTTTACACTAACCTATAACACGAACAAAACCAAGGTCAACGGCGAAGGGAAAAATGGGAAACTTCCCAATGTAAAGCAAGAAAAGGAGAAAGCCGTTCAAGTGGAAAGTGATCGCAAATGCCGCCAAGGGGTATAAAACTTTTTATCAGACGCGATTTACACTGCGATTCTGTCCAGCTAGTGAAATAGATACTCCTGCCGGGTCACCGTGTCTCCATGAAGGGGCTAATGATAGAGAGTGGTTCTGACAAGTTGCGGACCGCGTGCACACACAGAGTGTCACATATGGTCTATTTGACATCAATGGAATCCGCATATCACAGAAGAAAGTGAAAAAAGTGAGCGAAATTACCGATACGACGTAAAAAAAGTCAAACTAATGCGGAGG